AAACAGTGGCGTTTGTGCATCTTCTTAATTTCTTTGCAACCTTAGTCCACTGAACTTCTCCATTTTTTTTCGAATCCACTTTCAACTTTCCTTTCTTCTCCTATTCTTCATCCAAATGGGCAGCCAAAAGACAGCAACCAAAACCGGCGCACGAAAGTGCATGGTTAATGGTTGTTCAAACTGAAACTGATTGGTTTTTAGTCAACTTTTTTAGATGAACTACTAGTGGTTTACGGACCCGGTTATACCCGCGGATGTTGACTTTTCGGAGAAACAACTTTGGCACGTGGAGTCAAGGAGTAGGGTTTTCTCAGCAGAGGTGACTGGAAACGCTTGGTCGTATAGGAGCATTTCGCCAAGTGCAACGGAAGGGTGACCTGAAACAACCTAAGACACCTATTCTCGACCGTACTGTGGTTTACAGAGTTTCCCTAGCTGGAAAGCCCATACTGTACATCCTACAGGGTCGAGGAGGCACACGAGTCAAGATGAAATCTATGGTCCTCATGGAGATATAAGGCTTGTGATTAGTGTAGCCCTGGCAATCTGGTATTTCTTCAAAGAACGGGTTAGGATGTCTGTCCGCTCACTGTTAGGGCCATGGCTATTACCACTATGAGAAGAAAATTGCTATCATAATAAGCCCGTAGAAACACTGACCATCAAGAGTGCCTGGTGCCTCTGAATAATCGAATGGGCTAAGCCAACCTTGATACTCTAAATTGGTGTTTATATTATAAACCACCAGTACATTCAGTGCCTCTAACAATTAACTACATTGATCCGAAGTTTCCTTCCCGGGGAGCCCAACGGGAACTATTTGACCCGGTGGTATTCTGGTGAGGGTTTTCATACCCTCATGACAGGTCTAAGTTCGTCCGTCCGCTGTCTGCCTCGGCAAACATCGCGTGCCGTGGTAACTTATTTGGTGACATGCGGAACACATGTTCCAACCAATCTTATCTATGGAGATCGACCACTTGCTCCAGTGGACGACCGCAAATATCTTAAACTCTACGCCTAACCTCAGCATTGCTCGTCCGGTTTCCACATCGTACTCGTGCGATGCGACGTAGGCAGCGATGTTCGAACACCGACAATCTAGTTTTACCCTGTTACCGTAATGGCCAAGTCTCTGCACCGTAGACCAGCACTGGCCGAACCGCTGCAGCATACGATCGACACGGAGAGCCGGATGTCGCTACATCGCCACAGATATCTTAAGTTGGAAAATGTTAACCGGGCTTTTTTATGTGGGTCGACACTTTATCCGCGATGGGTGCGCCGAAGAAATAAAGTGTGTCCACTGTATCTATTATTTCTTCAGTTAGAGCGGGATTAAAAGCTGGGCCAACCCAGCCCATTATCAACTTTCTACACCTTGCAGGTGAAAGACATTCGGGAGACCACGATTTTGTTTAGTTGGATTTTTGCGTCACCGCCGAGCTGAACAATTGTTTGCAAGTGTTTCATCACCAGTCGAGGTGGCGTTTTCAGTGCTTGTGGAATAGTCATCACACAATTGCTGGCCCTAATGTGGAATAGTGATAACTTTATGACATAAATAGTCACGTGGTGAAAAGTATGCAAACGAACCATAGTGAAAGGAGCCATGTCGATAGAAAGCATTCAAGACCATCCGATAAACCGTGTAAAACCTTGGCATCAGCATATCTTGTTATCAACTGGTTATATAATTCTTGCTACAGCAGTAAGGAATGGGTAGAAAGGATGAAAGCCTGAGATAAAACAATCTGCTGTTCAACTACAGCAAACGAAGAACTATGGGATTCAGCCATTTAATTTCTAGACAAGGGAAAGCGAAATGCTCGGAATTCACTAAAAATGTCTGTGACCGGCGATAAAAATCGGTGTTTTAAACAGAAGAGTGAATCATAGAAGCTATCATAGATAAAATCTATATTACCGTATTGGGCAGTTCGATATGAGGTACCCGTTGCACTTACTTTTGCCTAACATAGTCACGCTAACACTCATGCCTTGGAATTTTGATTTTGCATGCAACGAAGCATTCAAGGTCATTTGGTATGCAGGACAATCAAAATAGAACGCAGTCACTGGTGGATGATGTGAGACTTGTTCAGCACAATATGTGAGCAGAGTGGACTTATCCGGTGTGGCAGCCGACCCCATACTGCCAGATGTGTTATTCGGGATGCCGTTTAAAGAACCGTTGCCGGCATCTGCTCGCGCTTCCTCAGCGGCGATGTGGGAATCCAAAGGCCAACAGCAGTGAAAAGATTCTCCGATGATTGGGTTGTATGGCTTTTTGCAAATCTTGTCCTTAATAGGGGAACGTGTGAAACGCATAAGAGATCGTAAAGAATTATACGTATTGGTCCATCTGGGGTGGACGCAACTAGAAACTGAACTTGACGGATCGGAATACGGAAAACACTTCTAATCATTATCAGTTCCAGCTCAAAACACCAGTGAGTATACACTTCAATCTGCCGGTGACTGTGGCAGTCAATGTTGAACAGGATGGCGAAATAAATATTTATATGAATGGGAAAACCAAAAACTCAAGAGAAACAACTTGCAGCGATAAACAACCAGTTTAGGACAATAAGTAAGTAATAATCCGATTGTGTCCACGGTAAAATGTACCCACGAATTATTCACCGATTACATTGGGAGCATCATGTAAGTTGCGTTAATGTTTCCTATGACCAGTGTTTTCCCCCACGACAATAGGCATATTCCACATGATGAGATTTTCTTCCTAGTCCTAAAACGACTACGTCGTATCACACAAATGGTTTAGACCGGCAGGTACCACGGAATGGCAATCACACTTGCAAGCATTTTAATTGCTTGTGATAAGTTTTTGAACAGGATAACTCGTGATGAATAACAAACACTATTGCGATATGAACTTGCGAGAGGTGCCGAATCCTCAATATGGTCTACAGGTCAAGGCTTTACGGAAGCGGTATCTTATGGTACTGCATTGAACCATAAACCGGTTGCCACTAGTCTCAAAGGGGGCGGTTTCACTAGGGTTCTTTCCTACACTGAAAAGTTCGGGTGGCTTCAGTTCTCATGACAGTTTCGCTGTACTGCCGAAATACGAAAAAAGGCTGTAAATTAACCAGCCGGGGGGGGATAAAGCAGTTCTTGACTTTTTTGATTGATTTATCCTACCGGTTAACAGTTGTTAGGGTGTGACAATCAGGTGGTTTAAATCTGTGCACTTTGGGATTTACATAACGGTTAGTGGTGTGTGAGAGATACGGGATATTCAAGAGCCAAATTGAAGTAAGAATGCTATTTGCTAATCTGCGGCATTTCCAATGTGACATACCCCTTTATCAGAAAAAAGGCATGTGCGGGATATTGGGGAAAGACAGTCATTCGTTAAAGAAGATCATTCCACAGCATCATCAGCGGTGATTGGAGCACGTCCTACGAATGACTGATCAACGTCTGCTTCAGTTTGCCTTATTCTCAGACATTGGACCAACATGGAAGAAAAAGCGAGGTGGACAAGCTTTGGAATAGATTAGAGGATGAAAGAATCCGTGTTGGGATCTAGCTTCCGCGATACGTCCGGGGTTCTAGGCTGTTGCTGGTTGAAGTATGAAGTTGAATCAGTGTCAGTGGTGTGCATGCGTGTTTACGTGTTCTCAAACTCAAGCACAAGAAAAACAGAAAAAATCAACAAAGCACCTAGGAAAAGGTATTCTCAGCCTCAACACACTCGAAATCGATTGTTCATTATTCTGCTTTGTTCTGTAAATCACCCGGGTAAGTTGGCATCGTGTTTATCATTTTTGTAAATATAATAGGAACATTCAGAAACACTTGCACTTCAATGAACCATTTCACGAGAAAGAGAAACTCATCCAAATATAACTAGACAGATGAAATAGGTAACGATGAAGGTCAGTAAGACAGTCGAACACATACAGCGAGGTTGGATGTTGCCCCATAAAGGATTTCTTAGATAATTTGACCATCATTCAAATTAGTCAACTTTCTCTCACTCAGATAAAAACAGACACGGCTAACATAATCAGAAAAGGAAAGGTCCAGAAAGATCAAACGAAAGAACGAGATGTGAATAAAGCTCTTTTAATGCACAGTGCAGCATATGGTTGTATATAAACTTATCGTAAAACCCACGACAGAAAAAAATAACGAGCCCATATAATTGAATATTTCGCGGTTTAGGGATCACATTGTTGGTTTCGACACCCATAAAGTTGGCGTTCATGAAGATTGTATGCAAACATCCAAACCTTTGATAACTGTCTTCTTGACCCAACCCCCGCTCTTTGCTTGTTCTTCCGATCCGTAACATTCCGACAGACAACTTATCCGTCACTCGCCAAAGAGCGTAGCCTAATAACACTATAAGCAGTTTATTCGTAAATAAAATGAAGATTCTGAAACCTCGGCAACCTTTCAACCTGGGAGCCTTCAACGTTAGGACTCTGATGCAGGAACCATTTTGATTTTTGTTGCTTGCCAGAGACACGAATTATGGATCCTGGAAGTATAAGTCATTGATTGCACATGGTCTATTCTCGAGATACTTCCCTCGCACATCAAGGGATGATGGAGCCCGCTATTTGGGTCAGCGAGGCGTGGGAATCGTACTAAACGATAACGCCCCACTTATGTATAGATTGGGCAGCTGTGAACAGTCGCTTGTGCGCAATGANGGGGTTCAGTTAGTATTCGCAAGGGCAGCAACATCAAAATTTGTTTGTTCATCATTTTCATAAATGCACCAACCAACTGCAGTCTAAATTCACAAAAGGATGAATGTTACGACAAACTTACAGAACTCACTTATTTGAGCTGCAGATTCTTCATCATTATTGTAGGGTGAGATGCAGAGAAGTGAACTCCGCTGATCGCTGTCTAGCTCACAATGTAGAAAACACAGTTTGGATAGGGTTTGGGTCTAACCGAAGGGAGAGAAAGTGAACCTCTATGGTCAACAACGAGTAGGCAATCTAAATGTGCATACATACTGCTTGAAGCATTCGGACCTGACAATAAACGACAACACGAAGGCAACTGCTGTCGCTTAGTTGCCATATCCTCCAGTGTCTCCAATCAACCGAGTCTTTCGGACCCGAACTCAGAAGACATCCACTCAACCTAATCGCTCCACGCATTTCTTCAGGCTTCGTTTACACGTCAAAAGTTGATCTTCACCTGGTTTACTCCAATCTGGGGCCGAAAGTGCGAATAAGGTGCGATGGGGTAGTTGACAGCTGGGCATACGCAATACGTGCCGTAGCCAGCGGCGCCTACTTATCTGAATACAATTTTCTTCTTTTTGTCTTTCTTCAAATAAACCGAAACCTTACCCATATTTTATCTTCTCACTCACCTCGTGTCCAGTGCGAGCTTGGCAGCGATCAGCGAAGTTCAGTTCCCTGTATCTCTCTGGGCGATGATGATGTTGATGTCGTGGAAATCCTTTTTCCTTCATTACATCAAGATAGGAGTGCTTGTTGGACGAACTTGAACAGCAAGAATTTTCGGGATACAAACATGTCACAGCATCATACCAATAGATAATATTCGACAACTGTTACAATCATCCATGGAGATAGGTATCAACTGCTCATCTGGGTGTATGGGACCCAGTGATTTAGTCGCTGTCACCGACGTGCTTTGAACTCTACGGTCTGGCCTTCTGGCTCTATGTCATGGTTAAGCGAACAGGGCCAATCCAAGTCCCCGGATTAAGGTTACCGGTTTCCGTTACTGAGAAGCAGGTGTTCGTGACTATGGCGATCACCCATCTGCTTTGCCTCACGCAAAAGTGTGTATTAAAAAAACGAGAGACCGAAAGTCAGTGCTGATTGATGTAGTAGCATCTCTACTGCTGCGATCATTAGGACAGAGGATAGTACATATAGCATTCATGTCTCCAGCGACTACCACAATGCCAAATCGCCTGACACAAGAAGGATAAAGCCTGAGGTTGAGATTAGATCAGGAGACGCTGGAAGATAATTGAAGTGGGGTCCTGTATGCGTGTCTCGGGGACACAGCATACATTTAAATGGAAACTTTCAAGGATTCTAGCTAATGCTACTTTTTGACCGATGCAATAGAGTTTGTGGACACTAAACGTGGCTAAGTGAAAAGTGAATTTTGGCTTCAAAAATCCTGTAACTTCTGATTGTTTGAACTTGGTAGTAAATCGTTGAATGATATCTATCGGTTGCATAAACAGGAGTCGTTTGGGGTCATTCGGGATTGAGAGGAAGAACTAGACAGATGGGAAAGATGGTTTTCCAAATGAGTGCCTAAGACTTAAGAGCACGACATACTTCGCGGCAGCCCACACTGATGAACGGTTTTTTCTCTGAGAACTCTAACCGGAGTCTTCGATTCGAAAGTGGGGCGTGAATCCAGCGCGAGAGCGTGAACGAAGAACCCGTGTGGGAGCTTCTAGAAACCTGTCACGCAAGGCCTTTGAATTTCGGTCAAGTTTGTTGTTCGCTGGTGCGTTGATTATCGGTCCCCTTTTCGGGATCAGCCCTTAGCCTCATGCACTCAATGAGACAAGCGGAACGTGGACGGGACAGCACCTTATGGGCTGGAGGCTGTCCAGCTTGGGCGGGCGGTAGCTGTCTAATGAAGTGCAAAGACTTCTCCCACCGTCGAGAGGAAGCCCCAGGTGCCCCGCTCCTACGTCCATCTAGCGAGGGTTTTTCTGACCGGTAAACTGCCCTCGTCGTGTTTATTTGCTGGAGTGACCTCTCCAAGGGCGGGTGGAGATAGTAGAAGGAAGCCAGGTGGAGCCCAAGCAGCTGGCCTTTTCAGACCGATCTTTGTCTGGCCTCTACCCATTGACCTTTCAGGCATGATTGGATCCACGGCTGTGAAAAGCCATCCTGCATAGCTCGCAGTGTCATGGAGGCATGCAAGCGATCACACATCGCCGGGGTGCATTCTCCCCGTGATGGCGGCTGGCTGTTGCCAACTTGATACGTATACGACGCCTTTACGAAATCCGATTGTCCGTTTAAGGTCGAATGTATGCCGCGGCAGTTCGGCCAGTTCTGCTATACGGTGCAGAAACTTGTCCATTAGAAAAAAAGAACAAAGATAAACTGTCGGTATTGGAACATCGTTTGTCTACGCAGCATTGCACGAATCTGGTGGGTTAGCCGGACGAGCAATACTGAAGTTAGGCACAGAGCTTTAGGTAATCGCGGTCGCCCATTTGAGCAAGTGGTCGACCTCCATAGATAACGTTGGTTGATGAATGTGCTACGCCTGTCACCAAATAGGTTACCACTGCGAGCAATGTTAGCCGTGGCAGGTAGTGAGTA